AGGATGTCAATGGCCTCCCTAATCTTCCACTTCCTTGTGTTGTCACCATATGGAGCTTTCTTTTCTGTGTTCAGTTCGTCCGATGTGTTGCGCTAGTTCTGATCTTTCGGTATATATTTTCCGGAAGAGCCTCTGATGTTCCTTGATTCGTGTGCTAATTTTTCTCCCTGTTTCGCCAATATATTTCTGTCCGCAGCCGGCGCATGTTATACAGTAAACTCCCGAACAGTCCAATTTGTCTATCCTTTGATGTTGCGTTGGTAGACTTGTGAAAAGTGTTGATTTCTTCTTCATGACCACCTGAATATTCCATTTACTCAATATTGGTCGTAGTTTTTGAGTTAGTTCGCAGGAAGGCAAGCATATCCGCTTTTGTGAATCCTTGATCGTCCTTACTGTCCTTTCATAGTCACCGTTCTGCCTTCGGCTTTTCACGGCCGGTATGTTTCTTTGTATCACTTCGCTTGGGTAGCCATTAGTATTTGCAAGCTGAGTACAGTCCTCATCGCTCTACTGATTTAGTACAGTTGCAGTTGAATTTTATTTAGATCCATGCACGTGGTTATCTTTTACAGTTACTAATTTCCGTCTCCTTCCTGGCTTGTCTACAAAATGCTATCTGGCCTGCTCCCGCTAAGAAAGAGCAAACTTTGAAATCAGTTCACTCTTGTAGAATCAGTGTCCAGCCTCCCACTACTTTCTAGCTGAGACGCCACGAATCTACATATATGATGTATGTTGGGGTGGGTTAATAGGATGGCGAAAGTCCGCTTTATTGTTCTATAATTCTGTCCACAATTCGATGAAGTCACTGTCTGATTTCCCATTACTAACCGCCACAAATGGCTTGGTAACAACATTTAGGCATCGAATTTAACCCCAAACAAACGGTTTTTTATCGGAATAAAGTTCTTTACCAAATAAGTGAATTGAGAGCAATCGTGGTAGTTTAAAAAACCATTCCTGCCACCTAATTTAACCTAACCAAGGCTGGGATAACTAGTTTGCCTCATAAAGCATACATCTACGGTTTGAATCCTAGTGAGGATGTTGTCAAGAGGTTTAGGCGCAATAAAGGCCTATCTCTTGTTCTTCATAAGCACCAAAGGTTAATTGTTCTACCCATCTGTAAGGGAGGATAGAAAACGATTCACAGCAGAAAACTTGGAACAGAGCACCTCATGATTTGCGGAAGGTGTTTCTTTAGTAAAGTATAATAGGTATGGATTTTTAGTTTAGTAGTGGAGCAACTTACCGAGCCTCATTACGAAATCCCTGTAGAGCACTGCTAAAAAGTGGAGTTTCAGTACAGCCAGGTAGCGATTTATCCCAGGGAAGAGGTCTGAAAAGCCAGTCGCATCGGTAGAGAAGTTCAAAAATGCCCCTGTTGAGAATATACCATGTGGATGACAGCCTACCAGATAGTTTCTGTCCAAAGGCATTTTGACCGATTTTTCATCTGACATGTCCTTAATCTCAGAGAGGCTATGAGCCCTGGCGTACTCTCTTAATTCGTCACTTGCTACAAGGGAGACGGGAAAGTAACGGGCAAGATAATACCATAAGGGCAGGCTCCGTATGAACTTGTTAGGCTGACTTCCGCGCTCTTCGTTAGAACCAGCCAGGCGCCGGAAAAGAGTGTAGCAAGTGAATAAGGTTGTGACGACTATGAAGCGCGGCTGGACCACAATGTCGAGAATTATACCAGCAAAGTCGGGTTTAAGAGGGGGTATAGTGAGCTGTATGATTGAATGGAGGAAGATCTGGCTGATTGTGAAGAAGAAGAAGCCCAGCGCTAAAATGTAAATAAGTAGACATGTAGCACCGGCAAAGAAGAAGACCACCTCATAACTGGATACCGAAACCACGTCCAAACATCTTTTCAGCAATGTCAATGGCAACATGTCAACCTTTGTCCGGCTGAACCTCGACCTCTGACCACCTCAAAAGGCAACTAGAATCGGATAGCTTTCAACCGTCAGGCTGTCTGTAGAATGACAATGACTAAATAGTATAGTGAATGAAAAGCAAGTTTCACAGGCCAGTTTAGAAGAATTAATCCACCAAATCAGGCATTGTTTGCCGAATCGTCAATTACTCTATCCAGTTTATCAGATCATTTAACGAGTATTCGGGCTAAATAGGTCAAGTGACTCTGAATCCAGTGACCAGTCGAGTGGAGGCCAGTAGAAATGCTCCATTACTGACAAGTTATGGCTGATGATGATATGATCATAGCCAATATGGATGAACAGTGTGCCTAACAATTTGGCTAATGTATATGACCTTTGAGGAATGACTGTTTGGAAAACACTTGAAGATAATAAGTGATTCTGAAATCAATTCGACATGATGGAGAGCGAAAGAACTGGAAAATAGCCAGTTTGGTAAAGCTTATCCTTCGAAACGGGCACATGTAGACTATTTGGATAGACTTAAAAACGACCAACTGAACCTATAGAAGAACTTGGTTTATCTTCAAATGTTTAAGGTGAGAGGATAGATAGATAGAGTTCTCATAGTGAAATGAATGAGAGGCCTAACAATGCAATTGAATTGAAATCAGAAAATGCCTAATAGACCTTCCTAACCTGGTCTTGACGGTAGTTCCAACCTCGCCAAGGTACATAAATGCCACAAGGACTGCTGGAAACAGGGCAGCGTTGCCACTCTAACTCAAGGCATCGGATGCCAGTGGGCCGAAGGACAGATTTGAATCCTAAGCAAACTAGACTTCTTGCGAATCACATTTATGGTGAACTTGGTGTCGATATGGCAAATATATTATTTGAATTATGTCATTTTTCATTCGCATCAGGAAAGAAGGAGTACAACAAATGATGCATGATTAAGACTGTTTATGGAAAATAATGGGGTTTTTTAATGTTTTGATAGAAGCAAATCCAGGGGCAAAATTTAGATTTCATAGTAATATTAAATATCCTTCATTACGTTCAAAGACATAGATATAGACAAGAATAAGATGTGTTATGACTTAATAAGTAATTTTATAACGTAACACTTCGGCTTTTAGAGTGTCTTCGGTTGTTTGGAGACAAAAATCAAAACTGGTATTTATTCAGAATTACTATGGTCAAAAAATCTATTTTTGTTCTTTCACATGAGCTTTCAATTCGCATAAGAAATAGTTGCGAGGACTCATCAGTTGGTAACATCGTGACCCAAAGCAGAATGATTGCCTTGGAATTGTAACTGCTGGCTTGTTCGAAGGTGTCCTCGGAGCATCGTCAGGTGAATCCGATGTATCTCTGATGGCCTAATGCCTGTCTTGTCGTGCGGACATAATAAATGTAGAAGTTCCCAAACGCAAACTATTATTGGTGATCTGATCAAATACGACTTAGTTGCTTAAATCTTTTTTTGCGATCATAATAGTTAGTTAGTGAAGTCATATATTCGAATCGAGTTGGATTTCTGGACTTTAAGTTTATCATGAATAGCAATGATGCTAAACATCGAATGTATCTTGAAGCCTACTCACCTCTTCTCAGGAAAATTCACTATCAGCCCGTAATCAACCGAAGCGACTAAACCCCATCTCATATAACTGATATATTGACATTCTCGCAGCCCTACTTATAAATGAAAAATGAGGAATGTAATCGATTTTAATAGGAAATATAACTTTGTAATATATGCGAAGAAAAGTTAAGTTTCGAGGAATCTATTGTTTCATAATTGTTTAGCTTACTTCCATTTTAAGTAAAAGTGTTGA